CCTGAGTAGCTGGGATTGCAGGTGTGTGCCACCAAACCTCACTTTTAACATTTTTAAAGCCTGTAATTCAGTGGTTTTACTATGTTGTGCAGCCATCACCACTACTGAATTACAGAACATTTTCATCACTCCACAAAGGAACTCTGCACCTCCTAATGCCTCTTCTTTACTGCCTAACATCCTCTAACTGGCTTTCTGTCTCCATGAGTTTTCCTGTTGTGGATACTGTGTAGCATGTGGTCCTTTGTCTGCCCTCTTTGGCACCATGTATGTCCATGCATCACCCATGTTTATGTCCTTCCTTTCCTTTTATGGCTGACAGCACAACACTATAGTGCACAAAGAGACTCCATTTGTTCATCCATTCAGACACGGATGCTCATGGGCTTGTTTCTGCCTTTGCCTACTGTGAATAATGCTACGAACATATACATGTGCAAATTTTATGATCACACAGTAACTTTTAATGTTTCTCTTTTCTTGTGTGGTAGGGATTCAACCCGGGCTTGCACATGCTCAGCATGTGCTCTATCACTGAGCCACGTTTTCAGTTCCAGCTGAACTTTTCTAAGAACTGCCAGATTGTTTTTCACAGTGGCTACCACATTTTATAATCCACCAGTAATGTACAAAGGCTCTCATTTCTTCTCCACATTCTGGGTAGCATTCTTGTCTTTTCACTATAGCCATCCTAGTAGATGTGACTTTCACTTGCATTCTCATGATTAATGATGTGACTATCTTCTCATGCATTTTTGGCACTTGTTTATCTTCTTTGGACAAATGTTGATTCAGATCCTTTGTCCATTTTCAACTGGACTTTTTTATTACTGACGTGAATATTCTCTATGTATCCTGGACACATATCTCTTAGGATATACATGATTTGCAAATATTTCCTTTTGTTTTGTGAGATCTCTTTATTTTGAGATAATGTCCTATGACACACAGGAATTTTAAATTTCCACGAAGTCCAATTTATCTATTTTTCCTTGTGTTCCTTGTGCTTTGGTGTGTTATATTTAAGAAATCATTGCCCATTCCAAAGTCATGTCTCTATGCATTTCTAAGGAAAGTAGCAAACAACATAACTGTTTCCCTGGTTTATCAAAACAGAAATGCAAGTATCACCCTGTGCTTCTGTTTGCCTTACGCAAGTATTCTCACCCTGAACACTAGGCACTAACCAAAGCTGTCTAGAGTCAGCATGATGTGAAAACAAACAAGCCAACAAACGAATGTAGAAAATACTAATTTAGAAATGACATCATGTTCAGCTGCCAGATTTCCCAGCTCCACACATGGATGATACACACCCAGAGTCACACTGCTCTCGGCTGCTGAAGAGTCTGTCATTCACAAGAAGAAAACATCTAGACTAGGGGAAGAGGCCAGGCTGGTACCAAACCATCCTGCTCAGAAAAGGCCACCATGAGCCCTGGGGACATTTACCTGGACAAGGGAGAAGAAAAATAGATGCTATTTTTTTCTGTTACACGGATTTATTCAAACAATGGCTCTTTCACAAAAGCTTTAAAGTAAATATAAAGCTAATACCAATGGACCCTTTCTCTGTCAAGGCAGAACTATGCCTGGTTTGGAGGACAGCCCTGGGCTGCTCCCCAGTGTGTGGGCTTTCAAAGTCCACCATATAGCAGGACCACCACGCAGAAGCCCTGTGCTCAGTGCTGTGGCCGTATCCAAAGCTCTTCAAGGAGACTCAGTGCCTAGGTCTGGAGCAGACATTGATGTTGCTTTCTCAGCTCCAAGACTTCAAGGTTGGGAAATGCCCTTTGGCTTGGTCCAAGCCCAGAGCCACTGTCTACTGTCCACTGCATGGTACCTGTTGGCCTAAGGAGTTGTAGGTCATTTCTGAGCCCAGTTATGGCATTTGGGGGACATATGGCCCCTAAAGACTACTGGAAAGCTCTGTGCCCCTGCCTGCCACTATTGCTTCCTGCACCTCAGGAAGATTATGGCTAAGCCTGTCTTCTGCAACCCCTTTGCCCCAGGTTCACAGACAAAAGGCTGTTGCTGGGGGTGGATACATTCTCCTTCTCAAAAGTCACCAAAGGCCCTGCAAGAGTTGCCATCCACTTGCTAGCAGCTCATAGCCTTTGAGGTCAACATGCTGTCTTCTGACAGGGGAAACGGAGGCTGGAGGCTGGAGGCTGGAGGCAAGGCACTTTTGACTACTGCTCTGGGTGATACAGGAGAAAACTCAGGAAAGGCTGTCCTCTTTCCAGGGTGAAAAGGTACACTCTGGAAATCCATGCACTCATCTGTTCATCCTACTAACATGCAGAGGGAGCTCAATACAGGCCAGACACCTTCCCAGGCTGGGAGTGTGAGGGCACACAGATGAGAGGAGTGAACGCCAAGGAAGGGACACGCCTCACAATCCTGCCCTTTGCTGGCAGTCTAGTGTGTTGCTTTCCCCTAGACTGTCCAGGGGAATTAAACCACACTGTATATAGTTAACAAGTAAAACAACACCTGCCTCAGGCAGCTCAGGCCACCACCCTAAGGCACCTAGACCCTCGGCTTTAGCAGCAGCCCCACATGTGCGCAGCAGGTACCAGGCCTATTTCAGCCTTCTGTGTCGCTTCCTCCTTGTGTGACACAGGCTTCTCAGGTCAGGCTCTGCCCTTACAACCTTGTTTAACCTTCACTGCTTCCTCAAGACCCTGCTGGGGACATGGGCTTCAACAGATGGATCTGAGGGACATGATTCAGCCGACAGTACCACGTGTACTTTTTGTATCTGCTCACTCCGGGAGATTCACACTGTACTGGGAAGCAGTAGTATATACAAAAACACACTGCAGAGGAGTAACAGCTAATGGGCTAAGGAAACATGAATCAGAGCAGACTACCTGCTCAGTGTCAAAGTCCATGCATATGTGCTTAGGTTTTATCTATGCCTCCACCTGGAAGGACCCAACGCACCATGAGGACTGATGGACAGACCTGTGTGTTTGGTATAAACTTAGGATACTCAGGCATTTTTCAAAACTAGGGGCGACATCGCCTAGTTAAATGTCTTCCTATTTCAACTCTTGACACAATTCTCCTTTGAGTGACATGTTACAATGTACATTTTTTTCAAAATCGAAACCAAAAACAAAAAGCCCCAAGTTCAGGCAAACAGCTCATCTTGAATGTGAGCACTTGCCTGGTCCTACACTCAAAGGAAAGTAACTCGGGCTCAAGTGGATGGACATGGACATTCTATGGGGCTGGAAGGAAAGAGGAAAAGAGATAAAAGCACAAGTTCTCCCACCTGTCCAGTCTCCCCTCACGTGGTGACACATGAAGCAACAGCTAGAGAGGGCTGTGCACTACCCAGGACCTTCTGCTGGGCCTGCTGCAGTGCGCTGGACAGGACTCAGTACTCACCAGTGTGGACACAGGCCATAAAAACACATTCCTTGTGTACGTACCCCATAGAAGCCCAAGAAGTGGGAAACATGCATGTGCACACACGAACACAGGGTATGCAGAATACTGTACCTCATCGTGGACAGTGAATGGTGACTTTGTTTTGTATGTTTGGTTTTACTGAACACAGTTCTGCTTTGTTCCTGAAAACCGGCCAGAACAGGTAACTGGATACAGTGAGTCCAGGGACTTGCCCTGTGAATCCTGAGGTAAGACCCTTAGGAGAAAAGGGGCAGGGTACATGGGACCTCTGACTGCTCCTTGTAGCTGCAAGGATCTCAACAGTGCTCTTGCTGGTCCCAGCAGAGGGATGATCTCTAGCACCCCTGAAGGAGGACAGGGCCCTGGTGATCATGGTGGCACCACGGTTCAGGCTTTGCAAACTTGGTGCCACTTTGGCAAACCCCTCCGGGGACTGTGTGTCTCTGTCCACCATTCCTGGCCTGTAAACTATCGACAAGCATTGTTGCCAGAAGCCCCTACCTGCTCTTTATTGTGCGCCCACTCCCCTTGCCCTACCATGGCGCTGATGGCACCCGTAGCACTGTTCCCTCTCAGAAGGAGAATTATCCACAGTATCTATCCTTGGGGCACTGACAGCCAAGGGAGTATGGGTGGCATGTCCTTGGGGAACCCAGAGGGAGGAAGCACACACCAGCTTCTGGCCTGACCTTGCAGTTGTGTTTTTGAGACATGACCAACCAACTGCCTGATAGTAGTACTTTAAGACCCAGTCAGGTGATGATTGTGGTCTTTGTGGGGCTGTGAGGTAGTCTGCTGGAGTTTGAAGGCACAGCCCTTCAGCACAGCACATGAGAATGAGAACACATGAGACTGTCTTATCCATGTAATACACTAGCAGAAAACCAGGGTAGGCCGAGCTTGGTGGGTGGGGACAGGTCCAAGTGCCACTAGGCAGGTGCTGGACAGCCATGGATTTAGCATGAGGGAAAGAAACAGTTTAGGAACTATTTGTTGTGGCACATGCCTGTAATCACAGCACTCAGAAGGCTGAGGCAGGTGAAGCTCTGTGAGTTTAAGGCCAGCCTGGGCTACATAGGGAATTCAAAGCTAGCCTGAACTATATAGCAAGACCCTGTCTCAAAAAAAAAACAAAAACAAAAACCCAGCAGTTTAGGACAGCTCAATCCCTCTGAGTGTTTCTTCCATGAGCAGAAGACTGCTGATAAAGCAGGTATTATGGTTTGTGTCTGGATGTCCCCCTGAAACCTCACACAGTCATGAGGTAGGCTTCTACAGTTTTTCATTGATCCACAGTCCAATGCTGGGATTATGGGTGTGCCCTCAGGCCGGGAGCCTGCATACAGTATAAGAGAGGGAAAGAGGCTTGCTGCCACTCTTCCCTTTTTGCTCTTGCTGCTTTTGCTATCTTTTGCTGCCATGAATGGTTGCCCTGTGCCATGTGCCACTCTGCCTTGGAGCCAGCCAAGTATGGACCAAAACCTCCACAAACTGTGAGCTAAATACACATTTCATTCCTAATTTTGGGCACTGGGTGTTCTGTCTTAGCAATGAGAGAAAAGTAATTAAGACAGCAGGGTTCTTTTCCTACGCTGTCCCTCCCTCCCCTCATTGACTGGGCCAACTCCAGTCAGCCTGAGGGTTCATGTCACTGGCTCTTCTTCCCGGGGGAAGGCAGCAGGAGAGCCCACATGGGCAGTGGTATCCCGTCAGGTCAGAGTCTAGGGAAGGAACAAACCACCTAGCACTATTTCCTATTTCATACATCTTTTTCAGAGACCATGAAGGAAGGCATCTCTTCAGAAGGCACTGTCTCCCAGGCCTGGCAGGGAATGCTGTGAGCTGGGCATGGTGCCATGGTCAGGCTCAGGTGGCATGGCCCACAGCACCTCTAAAGGAAGGGCCTAAGGTGGCTGTGGATTTTTTTTTAACTAGAGGGAAACATTTTTGCTGGGCAGTCCCTGGAGGTGGAGTCACTCTGGGGAGCTGCAGCAGAGCAAGGCTCAGTGCTCAGTGAGGCTAGGATGGGGCGCGGCTGCCCTGTGGCAGCTGACTCAGCAACCACAGCAGACGGGCCCTCCTGCCCACATGTTTTCTTGCCAGGAGGTGCCCCGCCTTCACCAGGTCACTGTCTCCAAACCACCACTGAAGGTCTGACATGGCCCCCGGAGTGCAGCCTGAGGACCTTCCCCTCACACCCTTCACACAAGCATCCCTGGGCCCATGGGAGCACAGGGCCTGTGGCTGTCAGCTCAGCACTTCCTTTACCCTGACCAGGCCCTTGCCTCCTCATGGGCTAGGACAGCAGTGACAAATGCCCACATCTGGGTGACACGATGTCTGGTGGCTACTGTCACCACACCAAGTACCTGATGGAGATATCTGCTAAGACAGGGTAGGGCTGATGATCAGAAGAAAATAGCTTGGGCAATGCAGAATCCAAGATGACGAAGTTCATGCTTTGGTCACGACTGACAGTCCCGAGACGGCTACAGACACAGCAAGGTGCCTCTACCCCTGCCCACAGGCAAAGTCTGCCAAGAGCAGCCTGTAGGGACTCTGGCAGTGCTAAAATTCAGTGTCCACAGACAAGGAGTACACAGGAAAGTGAATAAACCACAAGAAAGTATAGAGGGCCTCTGCGACGGTACTGGTTGGTGACTCACCAACCTGGCTGGAGTCTGGCTGTGACACCAGAGGAGGAGCCTGTGCTGACCTGAGGCTCCTGCTGCAGAGCTTGGCAGGGCACCGACAGGTGCTGGCAGGCCCGGACACAGAGCTGGAAGGGGCTTGGTGGGAAGGAAGGAAGCACCATCAACTTCCTGAGGAGGGACCCTGACCTCACATAGGATCTCCAAGCAGGGTAACCGTTTAATCCATAGTTGCGCCCCAGGACCGGTGGGCACCCTCCCCAGGTCCGGTCTCTTGGGTTCTTACTCTGTCAATGCCCCAGATGTTTCTGGGGCTAATCTTGAAGAGCATCACTTGTAGGAAGTGGCTCCAACGCCAGCACCTGAGACCCAGGTTGGGCTGGTTTTTCCTGGGGGTGCTCCTGGCCCAGTTATGTCTGCCCTCACTCTAGCTCAGGAAGATGCTACTGCCATCTACCTGGTGTAGGCCAGGGGTACTTACATACATCCTGCACTGCACAGGGTATTCCATGGCAAAGACTTATGCACCAAAATGTCAGGAGGGCAGCCCAGCTTCCAGCCTTAGACTGTAGGGGAGCCCAACAGTCCTCCCTGGCTCCTCCTGGCTGCTCCTGCCCCCCCACCCTTAATAACCTGGCCCACTGCTCAAATGACTGGTGCTCAGCTAACCTCCTGTCCCATTCCTCACTACCTGCTGTCGCCAGCCACAGCAAGACAGACACCTGGCAGGACACACCATGGGGTGGGCCCTGAAGACGAGGTTCTGCACCCAACTTGAGATCCTGGAAATACATTCAGAAAACAATGAATTCTCTGGTGCAAAAGCAAACTTATCTGCTTGACTTTGCTTGTTGATGGCCAAGGAATCGATCTTCCCAGGGTCTGATAATTTGACTTTATTTACATTTATTTCCAGTAACATTTGGAAAGAAGCACTAATGATTATTTCTCACTTTAAGGTAGTGTTTTTGGTCAATATATTTTGGAAACAACAGAAGACTGTAAAACAGCACTGACAGGGGAAAAACAGAGTTAATCACACTTTTCCAGGCACCTGCACGTCTTTGGAGGGAGCGAGACAGTTTTTATTCTGAATCTGCCTTGTGTCCTCCATAAGGCATGTTCACAGGGCTTATCAAAATTTACATTTATTCTTCAAAAAATTATTGACTCCTGAGGATGGAGATGGCCCAGGCCGCACAGAGAAGCCAGGTGGCAGGTAGTCTGCTCCCCACAAAGACGCATCCTGAGAGTCAGCAGAGAGAGGTGTGCCTCAAGAAACAAGAGTGTGAATACAGAGTCAGCTTCCTGTCTGAATTTGGTTTCTGCAGGGAAGTTAAAGATAAAAGGGAGAGCCTAGCAATGTGAGACACTAAGCCAAGGAAAAGATTTCTACAGGACAGGACACCAGTGAGCACAGGGAAAAGAAGTGCTACACAAAGCAGGAGTGAAAAAGTACCTGAGCTTCCCAATGGCTCTAAAACAATCACCAAAAGACAAGTACACTGGTCCGCCTTCTTCTGCAGCCAGACAACTCTGCTGGCTCTGACCAGGCGCAGCCGGTTTCCTGAAGGTAACGCCCATCAAGGTGGGGCAGGGGCTGGTGAGCTTACTGTGACCTAGGATGAAGCATGGACAAGCCCAGAGCTTACCATAGTCCATGGCAGCTCTCTCCCCAAATGCTAGCAGGCCAGAACTCACTTCGTTTTTTGCCTGGGTCTCTGCCGCTGTGACAAAACTCTCATTTTGTCTCAGCAGACATTCCTTGACTTCAGCACTCACCGCTAGTTGGAGCACGAAGATAGGAATTTAGCAAAACCAGTTGTAGTGATCTTTCCATGTTAAGTCACAGTTCTTATGTGACTTTTAACTAATAAAAAAGGGAAAAGACAATAAATAAACCCTCTAAATAAAGTTTAAATCTCTTCAGTCAGGGAGTCATCACACATGCGTATCCTGGGTGCACAGTGGAGCACGTGAGCAGATGGACACAAACCGACTGCAATGGCACCTGCGCAGCAGGGGAGAGACTGCTCAGAGGACTGATTACTCATAGGCTTTGTTTGCAAATATGCTAGTGATCACGCAACTCTTTTCCCTGATCCTTTTTATTTTTGGAATACGATTTGGAATAGCATTTACTTCTGGTCGGGAAAAGAAAGATAACGTCTTCAACCAAAGGATAGTCATGAAAACCCACAGCCTGAGCCACTCTCAACAGTGAGAAGTTGGATGGCTTCCTGGAGGTCTGAACAAGATAAGGATGTCCACTCTCATCCTTTCTAACCAGGACAATTAAACCAGAAAAAGAAGCAACAGGGCTTTTATATAGGAAACAATATTCTTTCTAGCGCCACTGCGAGGTGATATGGTAACCCTATACTTGACTGAGGAGCAGCTGAACATGGCCACACACACAAACGTGCAAGTGAATGCTCACCACAGCATGATTTGCAAGCAGCCCATTGGGACCAGGGAACATCTTTCTGCCCTAAGAAGGGGTGCAGCATGGACTGTGCTGCAACATGGATGATTGTTGGAAACACTGTGCCGAGCGGAAGAAACCAGACATAAAAACCATGTATCACTCCATTTATACGAAATGTCCAGAAGAGACTCAACGTGGATTAGTGGTTTCCAGGGTAGGTGAAGGGGCTGAGGGTGACTGCTAATGGGGACAGAGATTTCTCTTTTAGAGCAGTTGGCTCCTTCTCCTGTACGCTGGTTAGCAATGCCTTTCTTGATGTTCTCAGGTCCCATCCCAGGCCCAGGGTGACCACACGTGACACTTGTAAGATCCATTTGTGAGACTGCCAAGAGTCAGTCTTCTGAGACCTGCATTAACAGATGAGGAAACAGGTGCAAGGGAAAGATAACTTGCCCAAGGCCACACGGCTGTGGAGTTATGAAGCAGGGCTCATTCTTAATCACTGGGTTCTAATCACTGGGTTCTGTGTCTTGTCTGAGGGCTGGACTAACCCAGTAAACAGGAGGGTTACTGGTTACTGGAGGGTTACTGGTTACTGGAGGCTTACTGGTTATTGGTGGTTCTGAGGCACAAGACTGGGAAAACTCAAGTTATGGGGCTGCTCTTAAACAAATACACTTAACTAAAGATACTCAAGTGCAATGCCTTAGGAGGTAATGGCCCTCTGGCCTTAGTGTTCTATCCCTCCTCAGTCTCTGCTGCAGTTAATTAGATGCTATTTTTATGGCAGGGTTTTGCACACTGGGGAGCATGAGCGAAAAGCCCAGGTACCTAGCCCTGTCATAGGCCGCACTGCTAGTCCTACTACCAAGAACCCTAAGAGGCCTTGCAGGCTGACTTTATGGCAAAACTGTGTGGGCGTCTGGGACATGAGGATTTGGATGGCAGAGATGGTGTTTCTTCCAATAAGAACATTTATAACTTCAAATTGAGAAGCTCAAGTGTCAGCACTTCTGAGGCTTGGGTACCTCTGCATACTACCCCATATTGAAATTTCTGTCCCAGGTACCAAAAGTCCCCTAATGCAAGTCCCACCAGCCTGTGCCCTGACATACTTTTCCCTGGGATGAATAGTACCAGGGAGACCCTAAGCCTTTTCTGACTCCCATTTTTCCAGAAGAAGAATTGCTTGCCTCTTAACCCTTTTGCCCTTGAATTTTTACCACGTAGGAGAAAGGAAAGAAATATGTCCACTGGAAGATTTCCTGTAGAAATGCAGGGTGAAGGCAGGCAGGGCCTCAGCTAGGTGCACTCCGGGACTGGCAGGCAGACAAGTGAGGGCTACAGAAGGGTTAGGGTGAACACAGCCCATGAAGCCTCCCCACATCGAACAGCTGGCAGATCTGCCATATCACCCGAGCACTGTGGCTTCAGTTGTGGGTGGAGGATGTAGCAGATGTGGCCCTGCTCCTAAGGGCCACTTGGTACCACCTGGCCCTGCCTGGCTTGTGCCTGCTGCCTGACCCTTCATGGCTCTGGGTGGAGGATCCACTGGGGGCTGTCTACGTGTCATCCCCACCCAGATTTGCTCTGCAGCCTGGCTAATTCAGCCTGTGTTTATGCGATACTGCAGTGGTTACCAGAGAGCACAACTGTAATAGAAACAACCAAAAATAACTGTTGGCAGAAAAGCCTGCATTTAGGGTAGACCTCCTTCAGCAATTCTCATGGCTTCGCTAAGCCACCAGTCTAACCGTCATTATCATCTTTCTTTCAAAGGACATTGCAGGAACTCCACACAGGGCCCGGGGCACAAGCAAGGAGGTCCCCATGAGAAGGCCTACAGGGGCCATCCCACCCTCAGTTATGGGGCTGATCTCTGCACAATAAACCGTATCCAACAGAAGGCAGGCTGCAGGCCCTTCTCCACAGAGGACACTGGCAGATGTGCCTGTGGCTCTTCATGAAGCCAGCAGGAAATGCCAGCAGGCAGAACGTCCCCTATCTTCCAAGTCTTCACGAAAGAATTGGTAACGCCAGCTATCTACAGTTACTCCACCAGTAAGTACTGCATCAGAGATCCCTGGGTCAGGCAAGTCCTCAGGTCCTCCCTGCTGGCTCACAGACCCCCGGGAGAGAGAGCTCCAAGCACATGCCCTGGAAGCCCCCTCAGTTCTGGGGCTCTTCTCTTGTCTTCTGCCAGCCTAGATACATCCAAGAATGAGAGAGGTACAGCAAAACACTGAGACACAGCTCAGAGCCAAGTGAAATACTGCTAAGAAAAGCGTTTTTAAATAGCTGGATTGAGAGATCATAAAATACATGATTTGTCTACCAGGCAGGTGACTTAAAAGTGTACAATTCAGTGGCTTTCAATATATTCAGAGTTATGCAGCCATAACCATGGTCTAATTTCAAAATGTTTTCATCACCCCAAGAAGAAACCCCAAAATTGCTGGTGCCCTCCTCCCCCATTCTCAGGTCACCATCCCAAGGCTGCGACTTTTCCTGGCTTATGGATCAGTCCAGAGTCTATGCAAATACAAGCCAATGTGGATATGGATCTGTGTTCTCTCCTTTATTAGGGGAGGGAGAAGTGGAGAAGGGGACGCAAAAAATTATAATGTGTTTTGTCCATGTACCAACTCCCCATGTGGACTGTAATCATTATGTACTACAAATATGTATTAATGAAAATAAAAATTGAAGTAAAAAAAGAGTAGTGCATCTTATTTTCTACTTAGTATCTGAAGACTCTGGATTTTGAGAATTGAACAAGTCATCTTCCTACATTTCAAACAAGCTGTCACATGTACTATGATTATCTAGACCCAGATGGGTGAAGGGGAGAGATGGAGACAAAGAAAGACCCTGAGCAGCTGCCTGCTGGAGAAACAAACTCTGGCAGGGCTGGACACGGCTGCACATTTGTCTCTGGTCCAGATTTTGTCCCTGAAGGTTCTATGCAGTGCACATAACTGGCGAAGCAGAGATTTTAGTCTGCAGGCCCGATTCACAGAAGTATTTTCTATAGTCAAGCACATGACAGAGTTATGCCACCTGCACTTGTATTTGCAGCATGAGGGGAACGCAGAGAGGATCAGGGCTGTGGGGGCAGACTGGCACAGAACGGACTAGTCATCTGATGCCATGTGGCTCCACAAAGTCCCATAGCCTCTTTAGATTTCAGTCTTATACTCTATAAAAGGGGGAAACAACCCACTCCCCTCAGAGTGGGTATAAGAGGGGTAAACCTTGGACTTGAGAGAGGGCAGGTGGGGTGAGCATGGCTGGAAGTGTGCTTGTGACGCTGTGGGGAAGATGCCCCAGTTCTTGTGTGAGGCTCAGAAGTTCTTGGGGTCTAGTGGTACAACATCACTGTCCACATACAAGAGACAGAATGTGTTAAATCCGTGCCCAAAACAATAGACTTAGCAACTATATACCTGATGTGCAGGATTTCTGCAGTTTATCCACCTCTAGTCTTGGAGTGCATCCTGGAGGCTTTTCACCCCCTCTTAGTTTGCAAAACATCCACAGCAGCATTGGGATAGGAGAATTATCCTATTATGACTCCACAACACCAGTTGGATGGGGACTTAAAAAACTAATGAAAGGTAAAGAAGACACAGTTTTAATTTCAGAAGTGCCAGGCCAGGGGCAGACAGCTCTGTGAATGCTAACTCCAAGGGTTTCATTGACAGGTCCTGGGAACTACAGAGGGTCTAGAACTAAACAAATCCATGAACTCCTCATGTCAAACTGGCCACCTCCCTAAGTCTTGCCAAAGAGCCACAGTACACCTGGTCAGTGCTGCAGGGGTAACTTTAATGCCTCTGTACTAGGCAGAGTACATATAACAGCTATATTGCCTCCATGCTGAACATAGCAGAAACTCCTACAAAACCACTGGATTTGGATAACAGATGTCTCCTCTTGCCTGGTGTTACTGCTGTGCACACTCCCTCGAGGAGGCCATGGGCCTCTGAAACTCACGTCCAGGCTGTGCCTTTTCTGTGCCTCGGCACAGCCAGAGGGGGCCCCTGCTGATTACTGCAAACTTGAATAAACTTCAGAGCTTGCTGAGTTCTGTTTTCCTTCTCTTCGGCATGACCTAGAGGAAGACCCTGTTCAGCAGGGAGAAGATCAAGAAGAAAGTATCACTCAAAGCACCACACTGCACCTCACAGCTTGCAGCCTCCACACAAGTTTCTGAGATACTGAGTGGCAGATGCAGACTGTAGGGAGCTCAGACCCAAGAATTTTATTGTTTTTTTAAATCTGTTTTAAGTAATTTGTGAAAAAATTCTTAAATCATTTAGGGTTGATCTATAAGAAAACCAAATCTACAAAAGTCTGTGTACAACATGAACTCATCTGCCAGAGATCTAAGCCGGGGGCGGGGGTGAGACTTGGCTTGGCTAGGTCTCAGTCCCTCCCTATAAGCAAGAGTTGGATGAGATGACCCTTAAACTTCCACAGCTTCACATTTTTACGACTCTGTCTGGCAGGAGACTTAGTGTTCACTAACTACATGTGCTTAGGCATGAACACTTGAAAACAAGGACAGCAGAGCTGTCTGCTGGGGAATCTTATTAAGGCAGGAAACTGCACCGAGGTCGGACAAACCAGCCTCAGTCCTAAGTCTAAACACTGTTCTAGCTGTATGACTTTACCTTGATGATTGTCCCGAATACCAAAAATACGCATTTTCATGTTTTCAATGTGAAACAGGGGCAATGTTAACCATGAAAATAGGTTCCATTCAATTGTGAAGGAATCATTAAAAGTTCTGGAAGGTATCGAGGTCACAAGGAGACTCTCTGTTCACTCCCAAAAGTGAGCGTATCAATATTCTCCTTGGGTGTTCTCTGAGCCTGACTTCCCCACTGAGGCCATCTGAAGTCTAGTTTTACCTGTTGTCTGGGGCAGATCAGCTGGAGTACTACTTCTAACTTAAGCCCACTGCCCAAAAGAAGCTGAGGTGGGGGCAAAAGATAGGTCTCACAGCAAGGGGCCTGGAAGCCCAAAGCTGCCCTGGGCTGACTCTGAGGGCTGCAAGGTGCCGGCTGTCAGAGCACATGGCACCTCAGGAACTACACAGAAATGCAGAAAGCTGGAGGTGGCGAGGGAGGAGACAGGAAAGCCAGCCTACCAGCCAAGAGGTGTCCCGGCAGTAACAGTGCCATCCTCCAAACTCCCATTGGCAAGGCATTTCCTGGGCTATGGCTGGCTTCCTTTCACACTTATCTGGGTGGGGAAGGAAGCTGTTTGGGGAAGATATGCTGCAATTCTTTCTGGGTAAGGAAAGACCAACACTTTTGTTCTACGCCCTATTCCGAATGACGGAGCATGAACACTGGAATCTGGAAACTCACTTCCCAGACAGGGTGCTTCCTGGTTTGGAAAGGTCCAGGCAGGTAGTGTGTCAGGGTTTCTGGTACCTTCCGAGTCCAGACAGGAGCTGGCAAGGGCCCCTATGCAGGTCTCTAGCCCCAGCACTGTAAAGTCTGGCCAGATCACAGTGCTTCCCATGACTTCCCCATCCTGTCCACAGGACCCTGCAGATCTATGCAGAGGACCCAGGGAGGAGCAGCTGGGGGTGAGGTGGCCACTGTTAGCTATTAAGGGTCTCCATAGGGACTCAAAGACATGAGCAAGTGACAATTACTTCTCAAGTATTTGCTTCGTGGAAAAGTGTAATTCCTCCCCTTTGATTTGAAATGCTTGATAAGGCCACAAAGATCAGGAATAAAAATGCCCAATGAATGTCTATGGGAATTTGTACCTATACGTACTGAGCTACTTTTTGAACTCTGAGAAGACTGCAAAATTGTGGAGATGGGTGGGTGGTGACAGTTGTATAACCGTGTGGATGTGCTTAAATGCAGTTTAAATATGACCTAAAAATAGCTAAGAAGGTAAATGGTACGGTACATATATTTCACCACTATAGAAAGTAACTAGTGAATCTTTACTGTTAGTGGATACATATCAATATTAGCACTGTCTTTCCAATATGATAAAATCAATGTCTTCACCTTTCCCACCCTCTTCCTCCTATGCGGCTGCACATGCAGATGCTGAAGTGTTTGCCGAGCATACCTCAGCATCCCTGCCACACCAAAACCAAACACCAAAGCCAAGCTCCAAGTCTGCAGGGTTCTTTACCGCTACCTTTGGCTATGTTAAGTGCTCTGTGTTTGTTAAGCGCTGCAGATGGCTTAGTGTGGATGAGAATGCGGGCACAAACAGCATGTGCTGCAGATGGTGACCTCTGTGCTGAACCCCTTTCCAACAGGGGAGATGGAAAGTACAGAGATAAGAGCAAAAACAGGAAAAGAAACTGCTGTGCCAGAGGAAATCCAAATCTTGCTTACGTTTCTGGAAGGGATTATGGTGGAAATTTTTACATCTCTGGGCTCCAAATCTGTAAAGGTAAATTGTTTCTGCAATGAACTTGTCTACACTAATGTGCTATAAGCAAGGGTTTGCCTAGCTGGGAGAAACAAAGTGGTCTCAATGCAGGATTGAGCCATGTGGTCCACCCCAGCTCCTAGGCTGACTGCTTGGTTCTGAGCTCAAAAGGAAAAGTTTATTCTTTAGACATGAGACACAGGATGTCTTCATCCTTTATGTGAAGGTGCTGCAGGAGACCCCAGCCAGTGGAGATGCTGAAAAAGTTTCATACAACTTGGCTGAGGGCATATTTATGCTGTGTAACCTTTCCTGAAGCTTTAGTTTCATCGTGTGCTAAATGAGGAGAACCATACAAATCGGTCTGCTGGTAGTCACACAACCTGGAAAATCCTTGGTTGACAGTAGATATCTAAGTATATATTTCAATGTGTTCATCACTGCACTTGGTCTGAGCTGTGTGGCGGGAGGCGGACAGAGCAAGAGATTGGCTCAGCTGAGCTATGGGTAACTGACAGTAACGGAAGACAGGCTACAGTTTGGGAAGTAGAGGAGGAAGAAAAGCACAGAGAAAGAAGCAAATGAACTGTGGGCTCAGTGTCAAACAGGGGTCTCTAACTTCAAGTGGTGCTCTGGAGCAGTTGTCTGGCAGAACAGTCTCTGCTCCAGGTTGCCTATTATGTATTAACACCCTCCCCATCCCTGGTGAGTCTGCCAGGTCAAATGGGAAGGCCGACGACATGCAGGCCCAGCTGAACTCCTGTCTCTACAGCCGTCCTCTGACCAAGGGAAGTCAGTTTTTGTCACCGTGAGCCCTTTAAACACAGCCAAACACACTGCAGGACTCGGGGTCTCTCTGGGCCCTGCTGCAGAGGGCCATCTCCTCCTAAGGACAGCCTGCCTGGCCAGCACTCACCCAGCCTTCTTCCACAGAGCCTCTCTGCTCTCCAGAAGACATTTTCCTCCATGGAACATGAGGTAACTGGATTCAGAATTACCAGCAACTTCCACACCTGCTAAATGACAGCCAAATGCAGGTGCAGAGGCTGCCCCTGCAGGAAGTGAGCACTCTGCTTCCTGAGTATCAGCCACCTTTTTTTACTTGTACAGATGCCTCAAATGCAAAATGCTTAACAGCCACCGTGTAAGACAGGCCCATCAGTGATTTCCTACCAATGATGCTTCAGTTGGTCACTTTAGAAACATTCTACTCAGGACAGTTGTGTCTCAACTTAGGGCAGTTTTGATACAGATTTCCCTCCAGTGGCAGTCCCTGTACCTGCAGATCTGCTTTGAAGGCCTCACATTTGTCCTTTTCTTAGCAGGCCCCTGGAGATGATCCTCTCACTAGGGGGCTCCCTGACTTACCCATCAGCTCTTCAACAAACATCTGCAGGACCTCATGGCGCTTGCCAGCTCTCGCTGTCTCCCACCATCTCTTCCCAATGCACGCGTCTGCCAGCAGCTTCTCAGCAGAACTCCGCCTCTCATCTCCCTCTGAGACAAGACTTTTTGTTTTCCCTGGAGGTCCTTACCCATCCCACAGTCTATTCTCACCCCAGCTCTGGTTGTCTCCTCAGGAAGCCCCTAGGGTCCACCTGATGTTGTCACTGTCTGCCCAGTCCCCAGGGCACGGCCTGGTCAGCTTGAGCACCAGCACTGGCAGTGGGTGGCATTGATTTTCTAGAAGATGTACTATTCCTGGGATTTCAGGTCTCTCAAGATCAGGAGCCATGACCTAGCTTTGTGTTCTCAGGATGTAACACATCCCTAATAAATAAAGCAGCCCTGTAACTGAGTGTCCAGTAGATGCAAATACTCCTTAGAGCTCTGCAGTATAAACATAGGCTCTACCATGAGCCTGTGCACAGCAGTTCATGGAGTGAACACTTCAGCAAGGAAAAGGCACTCTGGGGGATAAAGGCCCATATGCTGTTTCCTGGAAGGCTCTACATCATGTGGTGTGAAGTCTGCTTTTTATATACATCTAGAATAACTCAGGCCCCTGGTTAGTAAAGGCCTACAAGAGGCCCATGTCTCACTCCACCAGCCTCTGGCATATTGTGTAACACTACGCTAGACTTTCACTTCCTCCACCAGAGAAAGTCTCTCCCAAACCTCACCAACTGTGGCTCAGGAGATGTATTCCTGCCTGAGATTTCAGGTGTTCCAAGGTCAGGAGGCATGACCTGGCCTTGTGTGCTCAGGATGCAAAAGGTATCTAATAAATAAGGCAGTCCTATAACTGAGTGTTACTGGCTTTCCATATATGTAGGAAGTAGGGCCCCATCTCCTGTAGTATGCAGTCTACAGCAGGCTCTGGGGAGCATCAGTCCCAATGGTGCTCACTCTGCTGGAAACCTTCAGAAGCTCTGCCTACGTGCCTTGAAGGCCAGGCCCACTGCCTGCACCTCGGTCTGCCTTACCTGGCACCTTTGCTGGACACCCTCTCCATGTGCCCAGTGAGCACCTATTCTGTATGCAGCCTCCAAATACTGCATCATGGCAGGCTTCGTTTCTTTCACAGCTCTTCACAATTACTGAAATTTCATTTACTTTTTGTTTACTTAGCAGTGGGCTGCTGTCAGTAAAGACCTACACTGAGAGCAGGAGCCACAGCTGATCTGTGAGCCACTGTCACCTGACAGGAAATCAGATTCTGCAGATCTAGCCTGACTAGCCTGAGATGAGCAAGCACCCACAGGAATGCTGCAGGCCTGGGGCATGTGAGAATCCTGGGGGCTCCCAGCTCTCAGCGTGGGGACCGTCCACCTGCTCCAGGCAAAATCACTGTGCTGTCCCACCAGGGAGGCTGGCCTCTGCCACAGCAGGAAAGAGGGAAAAATTCAAAGACCAGGAGCTTCCACACCACATGAAGACTGGCTTCAAAGGTGCATTTATTTCAAGTGGAAAAGAAGAAATTCAAATATTACTCTGATGGAGAGAGACACTGGAAGTATTTATCTCTATTTAAAACATACAGCAAGACCCAACAAATAAATTACAATACTTGACACAGGTTGTAATAATGAAAAATAGGTATCTAAATTCAATGAAAATAGGTATCTAAAATTAATTTAGATACCAATTAATAAGAGCCTGGTGGCTCTGTGTTGTATTCTTACAACTGGTAAGTCCACCACGAAGGGTGATGGATACCAACAGATAAATGCAAAAGACAAAACCCACCACACTAGGTTAAAGCAGTGTCAATGATGACCCATTTATGTAAAATTACAGCCAAGTGCATCTACGGTGAAGGTCATTTTGTGAAATGTCAATAGTGTCACTACTGGGTTGGAGATTATTTCCATGTTGCCTGAATTTCCTTGCACAAATATGCTAT